TCAGGGTGTGGGTCCCCACTGGGGTGCCTGGCCAGTCTGGGTGAGGGGCTGAGGGCTGTTTTCCTGCTGGCGAGTGACTAAAGCTTCCAACCGCTCCTTGTTTTCTTCTCTTTTTTTTTTTTTTTTTTTGGGCCAGCTTTAGCTCTGGGGCCTTGCTGCTGAAAACATAGATACAATGTTGCGGTCCGAGCCCGGCTGAATGGAAGCCCTTTTCTGGGGTTTTGTTTAGCTTCTTATTTGCAACATAGTATATAGTTGCTTAGAGTTGCAACTGAGAGGCTGGCAAGTTAGGTGGGGAACGTTGGAGTCTGCAGCAAGCAAGCCTCCCTGCTCGCTTCAGTGCCTGGCTGCCGGCTGCCATCTTGGCTGACAGTTAATTTGCATATACTCACTGATTAGCCAATGAAAAGGGTAGCGGTCGTACGCCAATTACCATGTTTCTCTTTTATTAGTGTAGACTAGAGGCCTGGTGCACGAAATTCGTGCATGGTGGGGGCGGTCCCTTAGCCCGGCCTGCACTCTCTCCAATCCAGGACCCCTTGGGGGATGTCCGACTGCCGGTAGTTGGACATCCCTCTCACAACCCAGAACCGCTGGCTCCCAACCACTCGCCTCCCTGCCTGATCACCCCTAACCACCTCCACCTGCTGTCCCGATTGCCCCCAACTGCCCTCCCCTGCTGGCCTGATAGCCCCTAACCACCTCTGCCTCGACCCTGCCACCATGGCTTTGTCCTGAAGGACATCCGGAAGGTCTCCTGGTCTAATTAGCATATTATTCTTTTATTAGTATAGATTGTGTCCCCAATACTTAGAGGATGCTTGTCTCCTACTAGCTCTCTGCCTTTGCGTCTCTGCTGAACTCGGCGTGATTGCATGAATATATGAATAAGTAAATGTGCAACTTTCATTTTATCTAAAATTTGTCGTGACTGTAGCAAATTTAGAAAACTCTGTTGTCACTACCCTTAAGCTGAGACGGGAATCTGCCTGAACACTACGGTGAAGTGACAGTGGTTTGTGGAATCGGCCGTGGCTGGTGGTGAGCAGGTTGGGTAAGGAAGGTGAAGAGTGAACGTGATTTTTAGCTTTCGAAGCTGTGGCTGTAAGACACAGCCTCGCAGTTTGATGGCTGCTGTTGCTCGTTCACGAGCCCTTACACTTCACTCACTTGGCATCACTGGCCTCTCAGCCTGTGGCCCTTTCCCGGGCGCGGTGGGAAAGCGCCGTGACAGGAGCGCTGAGGGCGGAACCAGCTGCCTCTGCCCCGCTCACGCTCTGTTCTCTCTCTTCCAGTGAAAAAGGCCATCGAGCTCAAGTCCAGAGGCGTCAAGATGCTGCCCAGCAAGGAGAGCAGCCCCAAGAACTCCGTCCGTAAGTCCCTCCTTTCTGTGCGGTCGGTTGGTCGGTCGGTCCGTCAGCAGAGGGGGCGGGAGTTCTCCCTGGGCTGTTTCTGGAGAAGTCGGTCTACAAAGGGCCCTCCCACCTCATCTCTGTCTACTTCTCTACCTTCCCCACCTCCGGGAGTCTTTTCTGGAGAAAGAATGTGTGTGACCTCACACTCGGGGGGAGGGAGGGGAGGTCCTGTTGATTGTGGATCCTGCCTCCTGAGTGGACCTCAGCGCTGCCTCACTCTCTGTCCTCACTGGTCACCAGTGCAGCCCGAGGTTTCTCTCTTAAATAGATGTTTCCCTCCCAGGTTTTATCCCACTTTCTCTCTCCGTCCTAGTGTACCCTCCTTACCCCCTGACCCCCCCACGCACACTATATTGATCTCTGGGACATAGGTGTCTGGTTCTGTAATTTCTAATAAAATATTCCTGGTTGGGCCGCCGGTGTGGCTCTGTGGTTGAGCGTTGCCCTATGAGCCAGGAGGTCATTCAGACACCCAGCTCTTCTACTGCAGAGCATTCATTCAGGCAAGAGCTCTGTTGTAAGGAGGTAGGTCTTCTGTTCTTATCTGAACACAACGGAACAGATTCGTAATTGCTCACTGGGTATTAGGAAGCGTCTGTCCTTCCTCCCCACAGTATTAAACTGTCTTTTTGTCTGACATGAGAATTAATCATTAGAGAAAATGAGGAGTTGAAGAAACGGTGAGCCTTCTAAGATCAGTGGTGAAATAAAATGGTAATGTTATTTATGCAGAAGGTGTGACAAAACTAAATTAAATGTTTCATGGAGAAAAGGGCACGGGCTTTGAAGCCAGAGAGACAGGGAGGCGAGGGCTGTAAAATTATTTACCTCCTCCCAGCATTTATCAAATTAAAATGGAAATGATTTTTGTCGGCTAGATAGAGCAGGTTGTTTGTACATTCCTGCTCCAGAGGTGGCATTTCGTGGGCCTTCAGCAAAGCCAAGCCGTGGGGAACTTTCCAGATAACAGTGGAAAGAAGCAAAGAGCGTGCGCATACGTGGCGGGGCAGCCAAGAACGGAGAGGGCGCGGGGTCTCTTTTCCGAGCAGGAGGAGGTGCAGAGCCTGAACGTGGTTTGTCAGATCTTAGAACACAGGTTCAGTCTCGGCGGTGAGGCTGGAACGCAGGCCTCCCCAAGTCCGTCCGGCCACGATCTGGGCTCCGGGGCCTTGACCTAGAAGCCAAGGGCCATTCCTCCTCCGGCTCCGGCGACCCTGGGGGACGTGAGTTGCCCGTGAGCACAGTGAGACGGCGGCTGCGAGGGCTTCCCGGGGGCGTGTGTATGGAGAGGATCTCACCGACTACAGCTCATGGCGGATGTGGAACGCGGACCTGGGTGCCGGCTCATCCTCAGGCCTT